ATAAGTCTCAAATTTATCTCTAAATTCTTAATTGTGGTCATAGCATAGTATTTGATTAATATGCCTTTTTGTAAAGGTTTTTTTTCATCCAAATTGCTTAGAAATTTTAATTTTTTTTTAAAAAAACCAAAATGGTTGCAATAGTCGATCTTGAAAACTTAAGTGTAGAGGATATTCATAAAATTGCTTAATTTTTTTTTTTAAATAAAAACTTTAAAAATTACTCAATCATTATAATTTTAAAAAATAAAATTCTGATTAATTTAAAAAAATTTATTGTTTTATAATTGAAAACCAAAAGGGCGTTTTCGATATAAAATATATAATCATGTCAATGTAGATTGCAAAATCTGAGAGAGAAATATATTTAAGAATTTGATATTATATAAAGAAATGATGGACACAATTAGAGACCTGATCAAATTATCCTATTTTCCATTTAATCCAAGAGATGCTCTTATTTTCTATTTTAGAAAATTTGTATTCATTTTTTTTTTTAGTTTTCATGAAGGAATTATTTTATCATAAACACTAAAAATAGGATAAAAACCAACAAGCTCTTTTATAAAAAGTAGGCATATAATTGATTCAATTTTTGAGTGTAGAGACTAAATCAACCTCCTGGTAAAAATAGACTATCTAGACAGAAATCCAGGAATTTTATAATTTTTTATTTTTATATTTTTTATTTAATTTAATTTTGATAAACCGAAAAAGTTCTTAAAAAATCTCTGAGATTCCGGATTAGTGAGCCTACTAGCACCTAGCATCTCAGAAAAAACACCAAAACCTAGAAAACCTTGAAAGCAACACCAAAATCCAGAAAACCAAGAAAGCCATAGGGAGATTTTAGCATAACTTTAAGTTTTTATATATCATTGCGAGATTGTATATTGTTTGTGAGAATTAGATTACTATTTTTTTATTATAATTTAATTTTTAGTAATTGAATATATAAATTTTGTAGATTAAATATTGAAAAATTACTTTATTATTATTATTATTATTATCTCTGTTTATGTCTAATAAGTAAAAGCAACCCATTAACAATACCGTGTTATTTAAAAAAGCATCAATTGAGCCGATTTACTAAAAATTAAAAAGATTATTATCTCCTTCAATAAACTAAGCCAATATGTGTGATATTAAGAGGTTATTAAGTTTTTCATTTTTCTTTTTTTTTTTCCCATAAAGACCAACCAATCATGTTAATTTTAGATTTATTATAATTGTGAAAAATAATAATGGAATAGTTGCAACCAATTGGACAATTTTGGTTATATGTGTCGCACATGTATGGCGTCGTGACGATTGTTCACCATCCGGGAAAAAGATGAATGTGGATGTATTTCTGGCAAATTATGAAAAGACAATGAATATATCTTTTATTCGTGAAAAATTAAATGAGAGTCGTCATCTAGTATTCTGATTACTAGAAACCCTAACTAGTCTCAGAGATCATGTACGGAGATTGGTTGCGTAAAGGGAAGGTATTAGCATCCCAAATACGCCCTACCTAAGATAAGCTTCATTGTTTTATCTGATCAAATCTAACGTCTTGTTTTGTGAATTGTTGATCTGTCTAAGGTTCAAGACAAACCCTTCTTAATAAGGAGGTTTTTATCTTAAAATACAGTTAAACCTAATTGTTCTATTGTCCAAAAAATAAATTAAATATCTGAAATATGCATTATGTGTAATGTCATACCCTCGATACTAAACACCAAGCAAAATAATTTTTTTTTTGTTTTTTGAAATTTTGGGCAATGTTCTTTTGACTTTAATAAACCGGTTATTACAACCAAAATACATGCTAAATATTGTTTTTGATGTATGAAAAATACAATATGAGTTTTTTTTAGATTTGACACACTTGGCCGTGTGCACAAAAATATTTTTATTTTTTTTTATTATTTTGTATTTTTTGAAATTTTTGACGAAAACCGGGTATTTTAATATCGAGTTTGTATTTTTACGTCATAAAAATATTCCCCGACATTAATCAAAATTACATAACATATGCAAAAAAATTATAAAAATTCTAAAACAAATATTTTTTTAAAAAATGGGTCGGGTCAGGCCAAAAATACATGGGCTGGGCCAAACCTGGCCCAACTGCATGGTCTGGGCTCCGCCCAATCCATATTAGCTGGTTACTGTGCGTAACCAGCTTCTCCCCACCTGCAGACGTGCACTGTGCACGTCTTGCATGGCGAAGGAAGAAGTTAAGGAAAAATGAAGGGTAAAGGGCGTACCTGGAATGGTGGCGATGCTTGCGGTGGTTGGCGATGGAGGCATGGTGGTCGGCAGTGCTATTTCTATTCTCTCTCTCTCTTTTATTTTTTCACTGTTTTCATTTCTTCTTCTCTTCTTCTTTTTTTTCCCCTCTATTCTGCTATTTCTCTTCTTTTCTCCTCTCTCGTTCAGTTCTCTCTTTTGGGTTCGGTCTCCCTTTCATTTTTTTTCTCTTTTTCCTCCTCCGTCCAGCCTCCTTTCTCCTGCTGCCTCCCCTGTTTTTATAGGCAAAAACAGGGGAGGGGACATGGCTGGGGCTGTCACTATGCTGCCACCCTTCCACCGTCCGTCTAACACGTGGAAAGTGGGTTGTGTTGGCGTCTTTTTAAAAGCGAAATGATGGTGAAAAAGTCAGTGAAAATAGAGGAGAAAAACACATTTTCTTCCCCTGTTCTCTGCGTGTCCAGGGAAAGAAGATGATGGTGTCATTCAAAACAGCACCGTTTTGAATTTTTTTTTTTAAACAATGCATGAAACGACACTGTTTTGGTCAAAACGTGTCGTTTCATTTAAATGAAAAGGTGGTAAAAAAACATGTTCATTTTCATATTGGTCCTCAATTAGTAATTTTTTCAATCAAGTCCTAAATTGCAATTTTGATTTAAAAACTAATGCAATTGCATCCCTGCTAAAATCCAACAGCGGCCCAATAATTGACCGCCTTTTTCACTTTGGTCCTTGGTCTTGATATTATGCAATTTGACTCTTAATTGAGCAATAATCTTCTAATTTCTTCAATTGGACCCTTGACTGATTTTAATTTCAACCCCTCTACTTACGCGCCTTTTCTATTTTGGTCATTGGTTTCGGATTTCTTTAATTAAGTCCCTAATTGGCCATCAAACTTCAATATTTATGTAATTAAGCCCTTGATTTGACCAAATTAACTTTCAAAAATTATAATTTGATCCCAGAACATTAATTTCTTCCAATTAAAGCCTAAATTGACTCCAAAATCAAATTTTCTTGCCATCAAACTCTCCATAAATTCAGTTAAACTTTCAATAAAATTTGATTAAGTCCATAAACATCTGATTTTGGGCTTTTCTTACTCAAATTGAATTTTTTTGTCAACAGGACTATCATCAGTCAATAAAATACTACTAAATTTTAATTTTTGTATTTTTTAATCTCCTCGACCAATTTTTACCCATTTTTAAAGCGCGTTGACATCAATTTTTTCACAGTTTATATTTTTTTATAATATTTTTTTATTTTTTTATATTTTATTATTTTTCATGTAAGGGGCTCAAAAATGGGTCATGACAATATATATTCAGATGGTATGATAATTTGTGTTTCAAATATAAATTCTTGGGGAGTAAAAAAAATCCTATAAAGTTAATATCAAAATTTGCAGGCTAAAATTCTTTATTATGTTACATAACAACATGATTGTTGGATAAAAATCCTAAATTTGAAACTAAAGAATTATTTTTTAAAACTAAATTTGAAAGTAGAAATTATTACAGAAAAAAACAATATAAATTAAGAAAAAAAATACAGATAAATCGAGGTAATCATGGACAAACTCACGAGATGCTGTTGAAAAAGGCTAAAGTGGATTCTGTCAAAAATAAATCAATAAAATAAAGAATTGTACTCTTAATTTTATACATAATCGGAAATATTCTGGAATAATTCAATAAGTAGAAAGACACATTAGGTGATCAAGAATTGAATAAATTTAAAAGAGCAAAATGGTAATGTCCAAATGATCTCATGATTCGGATATGTTTGCTAACCTCACAATTTTCAATTGTATGCTTTTGTGCCTATCTAATATATATCTTTTTTTTGTGACTATATTATATATTATAGCGATTCGCATAGATTTGGTTTTTGTTTGACTTAGAAAATATCAGGTTTGGTGTATCACACGAGTGGGACACTATATATTATTTCATTTTATTCCTATCCATATTAAGAGTTAATTCATTTTTTTTTTTTTGGAGATCAGCCGTTGACAGGCAGTGCAGAAATAATATGAGGTTTTTTTTTTAAAAAAAAAAATTATCATGAGCTTTGAAGTTCGTAGAGACCGGAGTGAATTACAAGTTAGTCCCTCTTTTTTTTTATGAATTCTAAAAAGCTTGTTTCAATTGTTTTGAAAGTCATAAATTAGTTTTTCAACGAAAGTTTTGCTAATATCTGTGTTAAGAGAAAGATAATTCGAGTTGAAAATTAAATTAAATAGAAATTTTTGTTAGTAGATATAAGCCAGCCTCAAAGCTTATCAAACCCCTACAAAAAGAAGTTTGAGAGTAATCAAGGCCCGGGTAAGATTAGAAGTTTCTATTTGACGTCAACCAAAGGATTCTAGAAGATTATATTTACTATTTTTATTATTTTTTTGTTTTTTCTATTCTTATTTGTTGAATTCTAGTTTTCATAGCCAATAAGTTTTCGAATATACTTATTTGTATGTTGTTTTAATTTTGATTCAATTGAATTGGTATATTCTATGATTAAAAAAAAGAAAGAAAACCTACAAAAACAAACATTAATTCATGTGATGAATAACACACACGTGTACAATAATTGCACCCGAGATTAAGATATGTGTTGATGAATTAAAAACCAACGAGGAGAGAATTCTATTTTGAAGCTGAAAATTCTAATTAACTTACTTTCAAACACAAACTCAGATATTTATATAAATATTCATAGAAATCTTGATACAAGCACAACCCTTACAATAATAACTTGTAATACAAACACTGAACCAAATATATATAAAATGATTAGGCGGCTAATGCATGAACTTAATTAAAAGTCTTCATAAAGTCTTCATTAACCATTATTAAAATACAAGTTTATCTTCCAACGACAATCATGTTTCCTTGCGTTTAAGTAATGCAAGCAAACTATATGTTAGCCCCAGCTGAAAGACTTCAGATTTTTCGAGCTTTTCATTGAACGAGTCAAAAAGCTCATCCAGGATCTCATGTCCAAAGTGCTCCTTCAAAAGGAACTCCAAACCAGCTCTGATGTGATATGATACGGCTCTTGCTTTCTGTGGAATAGTGTCTTGACTCTTTTCTAGGGGGAGGCACTCTAGTCTTTCTAGGTTAAAATAACCATTTCGTTCTACGGTCGCCTCTAGTTCTTGAGGAGAGGAGAAATATATAGGTATGTTGAAGGAGTCCACCTTCTCTTCGCTTATGATTCCCTGCCCCGGAAAATTCATCAGTTATATATATAACAGTGAAAAGAAAGTTAAGCAATTCCAAAGTTTAATAATGTTTTTGTTGTTTGTTAAATAAAAAAAGCCATGGTGGTTTGAGATTCCATACCATCTTAGCCATGTCCATAAGGCAAGATCCTAATATGTCATATGAAATGTTGGAAAACACTCGAGTATGAGGGCTTGTATCCGTGCGGCCTGGGACCATGAGTATAATCAACCCTCCACAGACAACCTCTTGTGCCCTGGCATGCAAGAAGCAATCCAAGTCCTCGGCGAATTGATCCGCGTAAGCCTTGACAGTTTGATCTCCAGCACTGGAATAATATATCCTTCCCTTATTCCAAGCAGGAGAGCTTACGTCCTCGACCTCCTTAGGCACCTGAGAAAGCCATTGGAGAGCATAGGAAGTGTGTACAATGTGAAGAAAGTCATTCGGGAATAAACGACCATGGAAGGAACCCGGCATGCCGGCAACGTAGTAGTTCCTGTTGGGAGGAAGGGACTTGAAGAGCGTGTTAAAATCATTCAAAGCGTGATCGTTGAGGAAAACTTGGAACTCCGGCAGTCTAGAATGATCATGTCCTTGGCTTTGATACTTGTTTAGCACGGCTTCAACTATGTTTTGAACTGCAACAAAAGTGTTTGGTCCAACAGAACATCCCA